ACCATTACATCACTGCATGTCCCCTTACAGAGGACCACCATATTGCCATTCCTATAACGGATAGGCAGGCCTTCTGCAAGGTTCCTCGTTAAGCATAAGCCAACAATACGCCAAATCACTGCCGTCATGTCAAAGCTAATGACACTTGGCACAGAATTGTGTCAAACTGCTTAATGTAACTTATGGTGTCAAGCAGCATAGTGACTACTACATAGGAATCACAAATTTATGCATGTACTATGCCTATTTTTCACATCAGACTATTTATATACAGACTGCAACCCAATCTGCAGATTACCTTTCCTTGTGCAATTAGTAATGTTACAATATTTCAACATAGTGACCTTTTTTCTGCATGTATATTACATGCAAATTAATATAACCTGCATTATATAATAATGTGTGTAGTATGTGAAATGCAGGTTTGTAATATGCACTATGTAAAACTTGGCACAGAATTGTAAGAAACTGCTTAATGTATCCTTCAGTAATTGTAAACTGTACTATTTAATGTGTGTAATATGTACCATGCTAATATTGTAGTAATATGTACCATGCTAATATTATTATATGATGTACCATGCTAATATTATTATATGATGTACCATGCTAATACACTAAGTAATTGTAATCTGTAAATGTGTGTAATATGTACCATGTCTCAGTAATTATGTGTAATATGTACCATGTCTCAGTAATTGTGTGTAATATGTACCATGCTAACACTCTCAGCACTTAAACTTAAGCACTATGCAATCTCTCACTAAATGTTTAATGTACTATGAAATGTGTGTTATATGTACCATGCAAGTATCAATTAATATTATTAACTATTAATGAACTTCTTAGTAAATATAATCAGTCTTATGTAATGTATGTATACTATCTATCTATCATGCAAGTCTGTAAATAATAATGAATGCATAATGTTAACCTAAGTACCTAATTAAGTATGATTACGTAAATATGAACTCAACGGATGCAACGTACCTTAAACATAAGTTATATTCAATTTCCAGGTAAACGCAATATATAGTATGTAATGTGTAAAAATATATATCATGCAATATGAATGTTTATGTATCATACAAGCCTGGATTTGCAAGTCTGAACGTATTAAGTACTTTAAAGACAAGTATTCATCAATCACTCAATAAATGTAAACTGTACTATATAATAAGCAAGTAATATGCACCATGCAAGTATTAATTAATATCATAAACTATTAATTAATTTCTTAGTAAATGTAATCAATATTATGTAATGTGTGTACTATGTACCATGCAAGTCTGTAAACAATAATGAATGCATAATTTATGTTTAATTAATATTAAAATATTGAACCTTGCGTATGCAACGTACCTTAAACATAAGTAAAAACAATTTCTGAGTAAATGCAATATATAGTATGTAACGTGTGAGAATATGTACCATGCAATATGAATGTATATGCATCAAGCAAGTTTGAATAGGGTATAGAACATATAATAGTCATGCAAGTCAGAATATGGTAATAGGTAAATGCAATTCTGCAAGTCTGAACATAACGAAATTAAGTACTATTAAGTTTCTCAGTAATTGTAATCTGTACTGTTTAATGTGTGCAACATGTACCATGTTAATATTATTGTAATATGTAACATGCTAATTTTCTCAGCAATTGTATTTTTTTTTTTTAACTGTAAATTGTAAATGTGTGTAATATGTACCATGCAAATATACCCCATGTCTCAGTAATTGTGTGTAATATGTACCATGTCAATATTCACAGTACTATTTAATGTGTATAATATGTACCACTCTAATTAATTAGCATGCACTATTTAATGTGTGTAATATGTACCAATGTGTGTAATATGTACTATGCAAACTGTAAATAATAATTAATGCGTAAAGCCAACCTATGTGCTAACATAAGAACCCAACTATACATACTTATAGTAAGAATTGAATCAAACAGGTGTAAAGTACCTTAAACATAAATACGAGTATTAAGTACCCTAAACAAAAGTATTAATCAATCTGTCAGTAAATGTAAACTGCACTATGAAATGTGTATGATATGTATGATATGTACCATGCAAGTATTAATTAATATTATTAATTAATAATTAAATTCTTAGAAATGTAATTTGTATTATGTAATGCGTGAACTATGTACAATGCAAGTCTTCTCAGTAAATATAAGCTGTACTATGTAATGTATATAATATGCACCATGCAAACCTGTAAACAATAATGAATGCGTAGTGTTAAACCATGTGTTAACCTAAATACCTAAGATGTATTAACCTAATACCGTATTAATCAATCTCTCTGTGTGTAATATGTACCATGCAAGTCTGTAAATAATAATGAATGCATAGAGTTAACCTAAGTATCTAATCATGTATAATTAACGTAAATATTGAACCTTACGGATGCAAAGAACCTTAAACATAAGTCATATTCAATTTCCCAGTAAATGTAATGTGTAATATGAAATGTGTGAAATATGTACCATGCAATATGAATGTAAATGCACCATGCAAGTATGAATAAGCAAGTCCGAATATGGTACGGCATGTGTAATAGGCGTGCAAGTCAGAGTATGGCAATATGTACCATGCAAGTCTGAATGAGTAGCGATAACCTAAGTACCTAATTATGTCATTCTAGATAAGGGCGGGCGTGGTGTTTATACCAATTAACCGTAACGGTAGAGGGATGGTGCCCACGTCCTCCGTCACTCACTCACTCACTCGAAATAAGAGAGCTCCGAACTGCGAGGCATCTTTTGCATGCGACTAAAGCCGATGCTGTTTCCTACACGATATATACCGGCGGAGTCCGCGGCGTACCTTGGGACCGCAGATATCGTCATTTGCATAGGTGTCCAAATACTTATTGGTAGTCAGTGTACTTCGCGTACAGGTAGAGTTTATATACATTTTGGACTGCTTTTGAGAACATTCTGGACCAAATCAGTAAGAATTCATTCTGGAATGTTCTCCATTCGTCTATGGTATATTGCTAATTTTGTAGTGAAATATCGCGCAATGGGTGATTTCGCGCCAAATATGACAATCCCGGCTTCCTATCCCATTTTCTGGCAACGTAAACCCGATTTGCGGGAAAGCTATCTTACTTCAGCTGGGCATTTCATAACAATATATAAATGGTAATTTAAATATTTTAAAATATGTTAGGTTTTTCGCATTCGAATTCGGAAAATGAATCTCTCGTAATAACTACCTGTCAAACATGAGTTAAAAAATTTAAGTATCTTATTGCATTATTAATAATTAAATTCATAAATATATTTCATATTTACAAATTACCCAAAAAAACACTAAGTAGGCTTATCCTTAATTATCGTGAGTATTATGCATAATATGAAAGTGTGACCTTGTAAGTGTTATTTGTATTTAATGCTATAAAAGGATACTTTAATCGTTTCAGTGTTCAAACTAATTATTTACCTAGTATTTTGAAGAATGTCAACAGATTATTTTATCTGGTTGAAATACGATAGGTGCGCTGAAAAATTAAAAACTTTCTTTAACGGTTATTATTATTATTATTTCAATTAAAATTGTTCCGGATATCCAGAACAAGAAAATTCTTGTCCTAGGTACAGTTCTAAATTTTCTGGAAAAATGATTTTCTTTTTATTGAAACTTCTAAAAAGCATAAATCGGCAAAAATATTAAGGAAATATAGAACGCTCAGTAAAATTTGTTTATAATTTGGAAATTTAATTCTTTGATAACGTAAGTTTAATATAAGGTACAAAAACTGTTAATTTTATGTCTGTAAGTAATGATACTTGTAATTGTGCTTGAATATTTTTGAGTATTGATATTTGAATAGTTTCATAGAATTTCGTTTTTAGAATCTTAAAAATTTAATTTGTTTTTGTGTATCAAGTGATTGTGAATAATTTTGATGCTTTGTAGTTTGATGAAATATTCCAGTGGTCTTCAAACTTTATCGACCAACAGAGCTGTTAAAAGCATAAGTTATCCTTCGGAGAACCCCACCCCAATCTTAAAAAATATATTTTAAAATAATGACTAGCAGAACTCTGGAGTTGTGATCATGGAACCCCGGGGTTCCACAGAACACAGTTTAAAGATCACTGCAATATTCAATTTGTATTTGTGTTTCTCTTCATGTAAATTTAAATGATTCTTGAATGTATTCTTTTTTGTAAACTGATGGTAAGGGAATAGATGTTGAGTTTAGTTGGGGAGTTTGGCTCGAGTGCTATGCTCCGATAGTCAGGTGCAGCCGAGGTTAAATATGCAGCCTGTCGAAAGCAGAGATAGCCTAATAATATAACCTTAAATTATTGTTATATTTGTTACTGAGAAATTTTATTATCTTACTTGGAGGACTATTACTTCTTGCATTATTAGCCACACTGATTTACCATATAAAATGATGAAATCAGCTTTTAACGAGATTACTGAAAGCTAAAATCAACAACTTCCAGTTCTTTATATTGATAATGTAAGTGCTCTTAAATTCATCAAAAATCTAGATTTTAGCAAACAATCTGTGACGTCGTGGATCCTTCAGTGGGAACGAAATCAAAACTGGTATTGGTGATGCATCACTTTAATTACAGCACATACCACAGACACAACATTTAATTAATACATTTAGAAAAACTTGAGTACATATCCGAGTTGGTGACACGATCAGAGACGTTAACGAAGATAGCACTCGTCATCACTGGACAAATTTAGTCTCCACACCTCAGCTCGCCGGCGGAGCTTCCCAGCACTCTCTCTTTTTCTGACAGGCGTCTGACCAGAAAGTCTCTTCTCTTTCCGCATGCGTATTACACAGTTAAGTCGTTGCCATTCACAGTTCTTTAAAATAGGTGTTAAAATGAATTACAGTCCTCGTAGTGTGAGGAGATCGCTAACGAAGTTCTCTCTAGTCGAGAGCATCATAGGTTTTTCTCGAGAGTTCAGGAGCGTTCTTTACAGACTAACTCCTTCCGCCTCCAGATTTTGTTTTCCTCGGACACAGAGGAAACAAAACTTTTTTTTAAAGTTCCTACGGGATAAAATACAAGTTCAGGCAGGCGTTCGCTACTTCCGCCTCCAGTTTTTGTTTCTCCGGACACAGGAGAAGTAAACCTTCACAGTTCACAGTTTATGGTTTCAATAGATTGTTCAACATTTTACCAGTTAATTTTAAACCACACAATTACAAAGGTTCTCCACTCTCATAACCAGGCCATCATAAAAAGAACACATTTAAAGATACACATACAATATATGAAAAACCAAAACAAAAATTTTTGTCTTTAAGAATAAAGCTAACAATTTACTATGCAGTATGAAATTAAAAAAAGAAAAAAAAAAGAATACAATATATATAACCAAATAACAAGACAATTTAAAAGGAATTATAACTAGTCTATTTAACTAGCATGTACAGAGTTTCTACTTAAGCAGTCTACATTTAAGTTGTCACTTCCCTTTTTATGATGTATCGTAAAATTATAAGATTGTAAGGCTAAGGCCCAGCGTAACAATCGACCATTTCTACCTGCATTATTTTTTAGCCATACTAGGGGATTATGGTCCGTTTGAATGGAAAATTTAGTCTGCCCATCTATATACACTTTCAATTTTTTTATTCCATACAGAATTGCGGCACACTCTTTTTCAGTGGTGGAATACTTCCGCTCACTATCAGTAAATTTTTTACTGAGATACAACGTACGTAATGTACTTGGAAACAACAACAAATCGAGAAAGACTGGGAATTGATCCAACTGAGTGCTTAAAACAAAGATGTAATTATATTGCTGTAAGTTTGTGTAAATATTTTTGTTTGTATAGTTTAAGTAGAATGAGAGATATAAATTAATCAAAAAAAAAAAAAAATACTACGGACAATTTGTCCAAGGTACGAAGTTGCTATATTGTTGAAAAAATTCGCAGTTTTTTTAACTTATTTAAAATTTCAGTTTTAAATGTATATATTTAAATTAGGGAAAGATAGAAGAGTATAAATGGTTTATCAGTTTAGAATATCTCTGAAATCAAATTATATACTCAAAATTGTTAATTTTATTATAACCTGTATTTAGAAAATAGGAGTTTTATAACCTATGTCGGAATAACAAACAAGAGTATATTCCCGGTAATACTGTTATATATCATAAAATATTTTGATTGTTCTTGGATCTGGAGTGTATACGAGCCAGTTTCCCTTAGAAAGTCCTACACAAAGGCATCCCTCCCCTTAGGCAGATAGCTAGGCTTTGCCCTCTAGGCTTTGCCGCACACACACACACTCAACTCAACCCAACTCTTGGATCCGGCAGTGCCAGTTGAATGTGTGTTAGACGTGAATAAACTTGGAAGTTTTGAAACCTGATTCGTAATGTTCATTTACCTTGGTGTTATGTGTGATTTGAATTAATGTTTCTTGAACCAGGATAACTTGAAATCTTGATGGTTATTATATATTTTTATAGTGGAAACAAATCGTTCTCCAGTGGGTACTTGGCCATTGTGGCCGTTGGGGAAATAAACAAACGGACATCCTTGCCCAAAAAAAAAAAAAAAAAAAAAAAAAAAAACTAAAAAGAAAGCTATTTTACTACAATATCCTACAGTCATTTCTTATTCGAAGATTAAACTCTTTTTAAAACATTTATTTGAGTCTAATATCTTACAAGATCTTAAGACTCGTAAAGCCTAAAAAGGTTGGAGACTGATAAGTTCTTCTCTTATTCCCGATAGTCCAAGACGCAATGCAGTTGCGGCTTTTCGTCTCTCTACAGGACATGATTGCCTTGCCGCTCACCTTCACCGCATAGGCATTTCCAGCTATCCCATTTGCCCACTTTGTGATTTTGGAAAAGAAATGCTCAGGGAATACCTGCTTCAACGTGGGGCCCTTCGTGCAAGGTGGCTATATAAACCAGAGGGACCTCCCTAATAACGGAGGATTTTAGGATGAGGATTAGGCAACGTTGTGGCCTCAGTTAGATGCGAATTCACTATTCGCATCTTAGTATTTTGCAAGTATTTAAAGTGATTAAAAGTGTAGATATAATACATACGTATTAGGAAGTCCGCGTTCGCTAAAAGCTACAAATTTTGCTGTGGGTAGAAAAATGAATTTTAAGAGTAGCATGTTGCCGCGGATTTTACTGGATAATCGTTGGAAAAAAAAGGACTCAAACTTTCAATAAATTAATGTAGTTAATTTTTCACTTTGATATGAACAAACATCTAAAATTGAACAGACGGCTTAAATAAGTTTTCTTTCGGCAGAAATATTGCATTATGAAGCTGAAAATTAAGAAATTAATTAAATACGGTAAATTAATATAGTACTTTGTCGCCACTATATTAAACAAAATTTTCCTGTAACATAAAAGAGATCCTTTATTCAAAAGCTTCCTTCTTTAACAAAAATTAGCTATCTTATCCTCCAGCTTCTACGTTAACACATATTAGCAGGCTGAGAGGTACTATGGAGATACTTATGGACATGTGTGGCCAGAAATTATTCAAAAAAGAATTCTTTTGTATTCATCAGAATTATTTACTTTAGTTTGGGTTCATCAGTAGCAAAGTAGTTAGATCACTCGGCGCTTATTTTGTTCTTGAGTTCTCTGCGATTGCAGTGTCCATACAATAGTCTTAAACGACGTTGTACACGAGTAACAAAATATCTTCTGTGTGTTCAGTACACAAAAAGCAATTTTTACTTAATTAATTCAACAAAAGCTCTGATGTGATATTACGTCACGAAACCAAACGAAAGGAATAATTCGTAAACTTCTAAAATGTTCTATATACAATTATACTAAATGTTTTCCAGTTAAAAAAAAAAAAAAAGCATTTGAGTTTACAAGCGCTTAATCTATTTCTTTTCAGCTAACTCTTTATTTCACTACCTATTCTTTTGCCCCTAAAACTAATCATAGAAAATTGAGATGTGTATGTTTCTTAAAATTCACGTTATTATATTGATAAACAATACACAATTATACTAGTTAAAACATGTTAAAATACTAAGGGTGTTTAGATTGGCAACGTCTTGATAACTTTCCATAAGCAATCTTTGCTAGGAGGCTTAACAGCCTTGGGTACTTGCTGATGCGGAGGAAGGGGTAAAATTATCTTTATGATGACTTGCAATGTGTTTATACGGTAGGTAGGAAATCATCAATATTTAAAAAATTTAAGACCTTAAATTTTTAAAGCAGTTGCTATTTGTAAGGAATTACTTTATTTTTGTATTTATTTACTTTTGTTGAATAGGATTTCGTGAATTTTCTGGGTCAGTAAAAGATTGACTGCATGCTTAATTAATAGCACAGTAAAAAATATTAATAAAAGTAGAGGAGCAGAGATGCTTTGCTATCTTAGCTTTTATATTATTAAAAGTATTTATACTTTTATTTAATGCTTTCATGAATAAAGATTTAAATCTGATGTAAAGGATCATTCTATCTGAAATGATAAATTTATATTCGGTATTTCGATTAACCGACTTTTAAATTTACTTGGATCCGCTTGTTCTTTCCATTTTAGCTTTAAAATTCTTTATTTAAATGTAACTTTTTATTAATATCTTCCTACAATCCCGAATATCAAAAAGTGAACATAACTAACTATTAAAATATCTCCTCCTGCTGTGTGTAATTATTTTAAATGGTTATTCAAGAGACAACTAGCCTGATTTCTCAAGCAATTCAGAAGACTGAATCTGCTTACCTTGCGTCATTGTCCTTGAGCCCAAATATTGTTCTCAGAATTTTTTCTAGAAAGTCCATTTTCTCTAGTTTTTCTTGGATAGCTAAAAGTTAATAATAACAGTGTAGGCTGAAAATATTTTGTTTGAAATACAGGTACACTGTGAAAAAAAGTGGGAATAATTCTGTACTTCTCTTTCTACTGGGCCGATTCATGAAATTCAAATTGCGTTTTCATGTCTCGACTTAGGATATGTGCTAGATTTATATATTTATGTATAGATATAGATATAGATATAGATATAAATATAGATATAGATTTATATATAGTATTGCTCTAATATAGGTATTTTGATACAAAATCAGACTTTTTCTGAAATGACATGGCAATTTTTTCCATATATCGATTCTACGACTCGAGTTATGCCAAACTGCCAAGTTTTGTAAAAATCGCACAAGTAGTTTTTAAAAACTCTCAAAGTTTTAGCTCCTCAATGTTAATTGAATTTGATACATATTTATTAATATATTTTTTTATTAAACTTGATTGATTCCTTCTTCCAGAATTCGAAATTTAAGCTTAATCCAAATATAATTCGCACAGTCTTTATGATTTATTTAAAAAATATTTTTTATAAATTTTTCGAAAAACATTTTGTATCCTATAAAATTTTTAACATCATCTTAAAGTAGTTGTATTTCTAGGCACACCTGCAAAAAATTAGAATTTTTTATTCAAAATGTTATAAGATATACATGAATTTATATATTGGCGCGATTTGAAATTTGGCATTTCTTTTTGAGCGATAATAACGTTAAATGTGACTTACGCACTTTGTTAAAATTATTTGAAAGTAATGAACGATGATATTTTCCCGCTCGTATACAATGAAATTAAGTAAAGGAAAATAAGTTGCAATAAATAAAAAATTTTGACAAGTAACTTATTCTTGGCGCAAACTAAAAAATATGAACCAAGATAAATTTTTGAACTTCTCCGTAAATTTCGCACCAAGTTTTACAAAAATTAACATTCAGGGATAACTGAGTTGTAGAATTGAAGTAGGAAAAAAAACATGGAATGCCATTTCAGAAATTGTCCGATTTTGCATAAAAATACCTATATTAGAACAATGCTATATATATCCTAAGACGCGATTCCGATACAAGAAAAACGCAATTTGAATTTCGTCAATCGGTGCAGTACAACGGAAAATATAAAACTGGTTATAAAATTTGACAATGCACAGATGAAGTAGCAATAATCTGAAACTGGAAAAGGAATAGGCTAATGTAAAACTTAAAAATATGCGAAATAAAACTGAGTCCATTTAGAGATGATCATATAATCTGCCAAGTAATCAAGTATCCCTCTTCTTCAGGACAAAAAAAAAAAAAAAAAAAAAAAAAAAAAAATTGCTTGCTCCTAAAGAAGAGGGACCTTTGTTTCGTAGCTGTAAAAACAGATATCTTAAATATCTAGGTCAATTTAAGGTTGTTTTTCTGATTAATATTTAAAAACTATCTCGATCCAAAGCCGCGTTTAAACGGCGAATCTATGCTCAAAGGATGTCATTTTCTTTAAAAGATATTTATTATTTATATTAAAGGTGCATATCAATAAAAATTAACAAATATTTACATTATTATTTCTATATCCAGTGATAATTCATTCCAGAACATACTACGCATATCAGTAAACGCTATGTAGAACAGGATATCCATATAACATATATAAATTTGATAAAGTTTAATTAATAAATTTGGCATAGTAAGACACTATCAGTATTAATTAACAATATCAAAATATGTAGAGTCATTAAGATTTTTAAAGTAGGGAACACGAAAAATGAGCAATGTTCCCGCCGGGATTCGAACCTAGACCTCTCCAATACGCGTCAAGCATGCTTCCGAAGGCCTGCCTATCAGGGAGAGAAAATAATCTTATAACGTTTGCTATTATTTTCAGCAATATTCTTATGTATAACAGGTGTTACATTCGCCTGAAGTTGCTGATTTACTGCTATAGAAACATAAACAAACAAAAATAAACGGATCGCTGCAAAATATCGAAAACCTGAAAATAATAATATAGGCGCAGCAACTTTTAATTTTACACGAAAAAGAGGCTCTTGAAAAAAATGCATGAGAAAATCATTCGCATAAAATAATATGACGAGGCATATAAGGGATTAGATTTTATATTGATTTGATGACAGTAAAGCAAAAAGGCGTATCTGCCGAAGGATGAGTTGGTGGATATCTTTCTAAAGGAAGTTGGCTTCGATTCACATTACAAAGGGAGAGAACCGTAAAACCTTACGTGCTCTGAGAATCTAAACGGGTCAAACGCTCTTTGGGACTCGAACCTAGGCTTCTCGAATACGCACCGAGTATGCTAGAGTTACATTACGAAGGTATGGAGGAAGGAATGAGAAATACCTTATAAATATACTGTACATTATTATTACTTCTTCTATTGTATTCTTTATTCGAATACTATTATTATATCGTATCGTTAATCTCAAAATGCACAATTTATTCTCCAGAATTTTTACTTTCTTATTAATGGATAGGATATCCCAGTTTCTCTGATATTCAGGAGCACTGGTAGCATCACTACTCATACGCTTGGAAGCCATTATGACATAAGTAAACAATTTTTGTATTCGAGAATGTCGTTGATGAGAACGGGGGCACAGTTAAAAGCAGAAAGGAGGAAAAAATTAATGGAAAAATCTGTATAGTGGGCAAGGAGGATGAGTAATCTGTAAGTTAAGTTCGTAGAATATGAGGTACCGAAGATAATCATCTTCATTCTCTCCCATTTATTTATATCCGTTAAGGATGTATAGGAATTGGGAATATCCTATGGGAATACAATGGTTAGCGTACATTTTGAAACTCCAGTGGACCTTTCTTTCCTCCCTTATAGAAACGGAAAATTGAAACTGTGGTTTCATAATTTATAATAACTGTGGTAAGAATATTTATTGATGTCAACCGAAATAAATTCTTAGATTAAATAAATACTACATTATCCCTTTTAAGGAGAGATATGCTGTATGAAAGTTTGATTGCAATTATTAGTTTTCTGTCATATATGGTTTATTGATATTAAAATTAACTTTCCATATACATAAACTTCGCATAATTAAAAATAAAAAATAGCGACTTGCTCATGATATTTCATCTCAGAAATTATTTTAACTATCATTAACAGAGCAGTTCTTAATCTGGATCTTATGTTCTTCCCCTTTTTTGTACCCTTTTTCAAACCAAAAGTAGATAATACCAGAAGTTAGCCATTTTGTGCTATAGAATCGCTAAAAGAATCGATACTATGCAGTTTTCTGTAAATATTTAAATCCTATCATCGATACTTATAACGTCTATAAAACGAATACCCTACTTTTGTAATGCTTACAATGCTCAAAATATCAAGTTGTTGAATGTTTGCTTTTCGAAAGTCTTCGTATAACATTTATAAGGCTTATAACACATATAACGCCTTTAACTTACTCTCACTTTTCCATCGAATCACTTTTGCAGTATATGTGGGTATGTGTGTATGTAATATATATATAAATATATATATCACATACATATAATACATATATACGTCTTTAAGTCAGTAATTTATTCAGTAAAATGCCTTTACGACATTTCTCCAAACGCTATTGATACATATGTCAGAATCGTAACATTTAAAACATGTAAAATAAGAGAAAAGTGCTGCCACGTTCTAATTTTATTCATGAAGCAGTTTTAGACGTTACGAAACATGTATTCAATCATTATGCGCATTGTTTATTTACTCACCTTCCATATCCTTGGGGTCAAGAAGTGGCCCAGAGTTGTCATCTTCGCAATTTGCAATTAATTGCAAATGCGTTGACCAATAAAAGCACCCAAAAGCCTTGCATCTGGAGAGAACAATGAAAAATTAGATTCTTTATTAGAATAGATTATGATTATGTTGGTTTCAAAAAATGTCTAGTTTCTTATCTTAAATTATACAGAAATGTTCTGCAATTATAAGAGAATAATTGAAAATTATTTTGGTGTTATTATCATGCAAAAATAGACAAGCTTAGAGGCAAATTGTTTTATAAAAATTTTAGCATTTTGATATAATTATTCTTATGACTTTGCTATCCACTGGATTTCATTTTAAAAAGAGATTTATATGATTAAATGATTACTAAAAACAATAAATAGATAAACAAATATCGATCATCCATCTTATTACAGTTTGGTCGAATTTTGAATCTCGACTGCATTTTAGGTTAACAGCATGTTTGAGGTATGATATGCACATACGAGCAAGGAAGATAATGTGAATAAAACAATGAAAACAAGGGGTTCAAATTTGCTAAAGAATGATATGCAACACAAATGTTATTGTGGATGAACCAGAGGTTAGCGAAAGCTGATTGGTGATTCAAAATTCAGCATAGTCTTTCTGTCATTTCGTTTTCCTTTCAAGCAGATGTAATATATCAGATGCTTGTGTGAAGCATCCTAAGCACTGCTGTCGATGATGAAATGGCTAAAATGACCAATAAATTCGGAAATTTCCGAATTAAATCGTTGGTATAAAAGAAACTCCGCCAACAATCGATTGCAAAATCTTTAAATACATCTATAGCAACAATAAGCAAAGAATAAAACAAGATTTACAAATTAAAAAAGCCAAACAACTTGATATCACCATCTTTTTCCGAAGCATGTGGCTCAACGCAGAACTATTTATAGAATTATTTTGCAGGATATACCTGTATAAGAGCTACTTAACGGGAGATAAATAGAAATATATTGTGACCTTTGACGAAGCATGGGCTTACCAAAATGACTGCAATGGAAAAAGTCCATTTATTATTGAAAACCAAGAGAGAAAAAAATGTACAGATCGGGTTCCGTCAATGTGAAGAAAGCTTCAGTAAGAGGGTTATGACTGACCCAGGATTCGCTTACAATGGGGATATTAAAAAAAGGATGAGTGGAAAAAATAGTTAAAATCAACTCAACGTACTATCGAGAGAAAAGTTTTACATACGGGTATTTACAGAAGAAATTCCATTTCTTTATCCCTATGTCTTTCGTTAATTGAAATTTCATCAAGGGAAAGGCTGAAAGCATGTGTAAAGGCCATTAAGGAGGGATTAAAGTAATTGCTCGATAAATAAAATTCATTTTCTTCACCTTTCAGCGCAGAACAAAACTTCTGTTGTTTTCGCCAGTCAATTGCTAAAAAAGACGCCGCCTTGCTTGAAATTCAGATGGTGACTAAGGATTATTAGAACACAGAAACATCTCCCATTTTTGTATACCTCTCTCATTTCGGTATATTTCACCCATTTTTGTATACATCCCGTTTCGATATATTTTTGTTTTGAGTACTTCATCAATTCTTGTATATGTCCACTCTATGTAGCATAATTTATTTATATTTGAACACTTCGCTATTTATTAAATTTTAATAAATTTACCCACTTATGTTTTAATGAACACACTCATTTTGCATACTTATTAAAACCAGAGTATTTCTTTATATCAACAGTCAGTAGATGCTAAAGAAGGCTTATCCACAATGTTTTAATTCCTTCAAGAAGATCTCTTATTAATTTTCTGTAGAAAATATATGCATTATATTTTCTGCATTTCATATATTTGCATGGTTTTTCAAATGATTCTCGATACCGACACAGATTTTCGAATCATTTTTTTAACAGCAAAGATTAAATCACACCTCAAGTTCTTTGCAAAATGTCTGCTTATTGTAGGATATTTCGCTCTTCGCGTATACATATATATATATACGCGAAGACATTTTTACATTCTAAAGTAAATTTTTACATTCTAAAGTAAAAATTAAAATGTTTTAAGTTCAGCGATTTTCTAACCAATTAACATTCAAATGAAAAAAAAATAATGAATAGAATAATTGAAATGCTTCCATTTCACTGGTTTCTAATATTTCACCCATTTCGCTTAGAAATCAGGAAACTAACCTGATATTAAATTTCAAGTCTCTATGTCCGCAAACAGGTTTAAGATTGTTTAAAAATTGCTCCCAGTTTACTTATTGCTAATCAATTAGCATTCAATTACGAAATGACTTCATTAGTGACCGGGTTTCTGTACATTGAGTGTTCGACGAGGTTTCAAAATCCGACAGACGCTCTGGTTGAAAGAACGGTTTTGGATCCCGCTTTTGTTTGACGAGAACACGAACCAGTTTTCCTTAGAAAATACACCATGAAGGCATCCCGTACCTTAATACTTTGACTGCCAAGTACCAGATAATCCATAGCAGGTGGTCTGTCTGCGATGGCCAACTGCAAGATAAATCGTAATTGTGGAGCTTGGTATGATTCTCCCTGAAAAATTAACTCAGCTATCGCTGACTCTGCTACAGCGAAATAACGACAATTAAAGCCTGCCTGAGTACGATTTAATATAGTCTGATTACAGTTAGCTACTAAAATGAACTGCAAAATAAATCGTGAAATTTCTTCTATTAATATAGTCTGATTACAGTTAGCTACTAAAATGAACTGCAAATAATCGTGTCTTTAAATAGTCGATTACAGTTAGCTATAAATGAACTGCAAAACTAAATCGAAATGCTTCTATTATATATCTGATTTGCAAAATAAATTGAAATCTTCTATTAATATAGTCTGATTACAGTTGCTACTAAAATGAACTGCAAAATAAATCGTGAAATTCTTCTATTAATATAGTCTGATTACAGCTACTAAAATGAAATAATCGTGAAATTTCTTCTATAATATAGTCTGATTACAGTTAGCTACTAAAATGAACTGCAAAATAAATCGTGAAATTTCTTCTATTAATATAGTCTGATTACAGTTAGCTACTAAAATGAACTGCAAAATAAATCGTGAAATTTCTTCTATTAATATAGTCTGATTACAGTTAGCTACTAAAATGAACTGCAAAATAAATCGTGAAATTTCTTCTATTAATATAGTCTGATTACAGTTAGCTACTAAAATGAACTGCAAAATAATTCGTTGAAATTTCTTCTCATTAATATAGTCTGATTACAGTTAGCTACTAAAATGAACTGCAAAATAAATCGTGAAATTTCTTCTATTAATATAGTCTGATTACAGTTAGCTACTAAAATGAACTGCAAATAAATCGTGAAATTTCTTCTTTAATATAGTCTGATACAGTTAGCTACTAAAATGAACTGCAAAATAAATCGTGAAATTTCTTCTATTAATATAGTCTGATTACAGTTAGCTACTAAAATGAACTGCAAAATAAATCGTGAAATTTCTTCTATTAATATAGTCTGATTACAGTTAGCTACTAAAATGAACTGCAAAATAAATCGTGAAATTTCTTCTATTAATATAGTCTGATTACAGTTAGCTACTAAAATGAACTGCAAAATAAATCGTGAAATTTCTTCTATTAATATAGTCTGATTACAGTTAGCTACTAAAATGAACTGCAAAATAAATCGTGAAATTTCTTCTATTAATATAGTCTGATTACAGTTTAGCTACTAAAATGAAACTGCAAAATAAATCGTGAAATTTCTTCTATTAATATAGTCTGATTACAGTTAGCTACTAAAATGAACTGCAAAATAAATCGTGGAATTTCTTCTATTAATATAGTCTGATTACAGTTAGCTACTAAAATGAACTGCAAATAAATCGTGAAATTTCTTCTATTAATATAGTCTGATTACAGTTAGCTACTAAAATGAACTGCAAAATAAATCGTGAAAATTTCTTCTATTAATATAGTCTGATTACAGTTAGCTACTAAAATGAACTGCAAAATAAATCGTGAAATTTCTTCTATTAATATAGTCTGATTACAGTTAGCTACTCAAATGAACTGCAAAATAAATCGTGAAATTTCTTCTATTAATATAGTCTGATACAGTTAGCTACTAAAATGAACACAAATAAATCGTGAAATTCTCTTTAATAGTCTGATTACAGTTAGCTACTAAAATGAACTGCAAAATAAATCGTGAAATTTCTATTAATATAGTCTATTATAAATGATCTGATTACGTTACATATCTACAGTAAGCTGAACTGAACTGCAAAATAAATCGTGAAATTTCTTCTATTAATATAGTCTGATTACAGTTAGCTACTAAAATGAACTGCAAAATAAATCGTGAAATTTCTTCTATTAATATAGTCTGATTACAGTTAGCTACTAAAATGAACTGCAAAATAAATCGTGAAATTTCTTCTATAATATAGTCTGATTACAGTTAGCTACTAAAATGAACTGCAAAATAAATCGTGAAATTTCTTCGTTCGGGATGAGGAACATTCTCTAAATGTTCTGATAATTACTTTGTATTAAAATTAAGATTTTTTATCTAGTGTGTGAGACCCAAATCTTAAACTTATCGTAGAAGTCAACGTGTTAAGCCCTCATATATTTTGCATATCATGTATTAACACAATTATATCTCATGTACCAATAAAAATAATCATGCTGTGGTTGATGTATCTCATGTACTAATTCAGATAATCATGTACTAATATAAACAATCTGTAGGATTATTATTTAGAACTAATTTATTTATAATTTCAGCCTTTATTATAACATTTCCCTTCCATTTCCTTAGCAGAACTCAAATGAGCTACATTGTGTTTAAGCTGAGGGTTTTGGATTGCAAGGTAAAGCGCGTTTCTACCTCTCCAGGCCATATTACTTTAGTTCTGCCATCTCTGATAAGTTTGCAATTATTTCCTACCAACATTTAAATTGGTAGGTATATCGGTTAGGGATTTTTGAGCCAGCTTAGCTTTATATAAAATTGTGTAGTCTCTGACTACTAGTTTACGTATTAAATTCGAATTTGACTCTTACTTTAGTTGCATCGCCACAAGAGGTGGTTGATTACTGTTAGCACGAAGAGTACCTGTTAAATAAAAAGGTTTGTTTAAACCTTTTTAAGTCTCTAGTTAATTTCAGACGCAGCTATAATTTGCTTTACTCCTGTTTGGAGTGTAAAGCTAGTTTATGCTTCCAAAGCAGTTCAAACTCTACAAATCATGTACTAACACAAATAATAATGTACTGATACAAATAATAATGTACTGGTACAAATAATAATGTACTGGTACAAATAATAATATACTAATACAAATCGTACTACAAATGATATAGTTATGAAAAGCGAAATAACTTTTCTTTAAATCCGTAATTTCTGTATAAATTTGACTCAGTTTTAATCCCGTCCAAAAATGTCATCCATGTAAGTATCTTTTCCCTCAGACATAGATCCCAGGTGAGCTTTGATATAATCAAATAACCCAGTCCCATCTATTAATATTCATGTCTTTTTCAAAACTCGACGCAAGAACCTATATGGAATACGTTAACAATATCAAAATCAAAAAGATAGTGCCTACAAACCCTTGAATTAAATTAATAAAATAGTTAATCTCACCTTATCAAGTTCACATAACCTCTTCTTATCGAAAATGTGTTTTCCTTCCCCAAAAATTCAAAACTTCAATAAATATGAGAGAAATTTTTAAGTTATCGCAAAATTGGATCGCGCTGTTTGATGCGAACATTAACAATACTATATTTAAAATTCGTATTAGATGAAATATTACTTACCTTATAATCTTCGGGGCTTTCAAAACAGAAGCTTGGTAAGAAATTTGGGGCTCTTTCTTTTATATAAAAATGTCTTAGTTTTTATGAATTGTAACATTAAAATAATTTCCATCTGTTGAAGCATATTGAAAGAAACTGACATCTGAAATTGATATGTCAATTTAAACGTCATGACCATACAAATGATTTGTAAATATCAAGAACTTTCTCCAAAATCAAAACGACGTACGTTGTCCTTGTCTATCTGTTCTACATCTGTTCTGAATTACAATTTAATAAACAGAAATACGCAATTTAAAACATAAATCTGAAAAAACATACGAATATTAGCGGAAAAACAACGATGTAACAAAGAAATAATAGCTATGGATTAATAATAGTAATAAAGAAATATCAAATAAATCTCTATAGGAAAAATGATTTAAATAGTTTTTTTTAAATACAACGGATTAATACTTTTAGAAAAAATTCAGCGGCGTTTCACATTCAAAATATAATATTAAATCTCAGTTTTAAGGTTCCTTTAACTTGAATAATCAGTTATTTTATGTTTCGAATCTGTACTGTCACTTCTCTCTTTCCATTTTACCACCAACATGCAAATTAGTTCTCTTGTATTGAGTGAGAGGTTATAAGGTATTTCTCCCACTTCCCTAGCATGCCTTCGTGGTGTAACGGTAGCACGCTGGGCTGGTATTCCAGAGGTTCGTGGTTCGATTCCCGGCGAAGGCGGTTGCATATTTTTCATCTTTTCTGCTTCCAATTAACCTAATGACTCTACAAGTTTGAGATTGTTAAGTCAGAGCGTTTTCTACCACTCGTGGCCATAATACTATTCTACCGAAAATATAAAATAATAAATAGCACAGAAAATAATAAAATAGCATTTCAGTGCTATTTTAATCCTCGGTTTTAAACATTATTTCATTTATCTTCTGAAGAACAAAAGCAGTTTCTTTGAATCGGCTATACTACCAGCTGTAACACGTAAAACATTTCTTTAAAACTCGTGGGGTTTTAACCAGAATACCAATATCTGCTTGCCAGGGCTTGATTTCTAAAATTAGAAGTATTGGAGCGGTAAGGCCATAACGAAAATCAATAATAGCAATAACACTGATAAATAAAGTAATATGAAATGAATAATTAACTAAGATATAAACAGATGTAAATATTAGTAATTAAGTTAAATTTCTGTTTTACTAAGTAATTAATAAATTAAACTATGTTAAAATTAAAGAAAATGAATTGCTTATTGATAAAAAAGTAAAGTTATGAAAATTATATGAAATAATGAAACAAATGAACGGTGAGTAAATTTAGAATTGCATGTCGTGGTATTGAGGACAAAAAAACGTGTGCATACTAAAAAGAATTCTTCTCTATCAGGTAGTACCTTTGCATCTTTATTTTGGATTTCGCATTATTTCAGCGTTTCTTTAAATATCTTTAAAACTTGCTTGACCGCATGAACACAGTCTATAAAATTTCTCCTTACTGACTAACAGGACATCATTTCAACATGGACGATTTCCTTTCTCAGCTACTCTGATTCTCCCGCATATTTTATTCTTTGTAGGGAAAATGAAATATGTATTGTCTATCTAGCATCAATAATAGCTTTATTAGCTGTTAAAATACTATATGTTAATAGCGTAATATTATGTTAACACTGTGATTCAGTCTTATAAAGAAAACAAAAGCACCATAACTTATTTTATTTGGAGCTCCAGTGTATTGAAGCTGGAATTTTTAATAACTGAGAAGTACCGGAGTTGGGATATCCGAGCTTTGTACTGGAGTGGAGGCCGGCTGGATTTAAGCCCTTCTTCTTGCACCAGTTTCAAAGAACTTTTTTGTCAACAGCTTAAGCGGCTGGAAAACTGGGAGGAGCGGATCTGGCTATAGAACGAATACATCCACTTACGTTCAGTTATAAGTTTGGCTCCCAAAATGTTATGATATAGGTTCACATTAGAGGTAATAAGTATCTGATTATTCTTTTAACTTAAAGATAATGCAGCGCCCACTGCTTATTAAGGGGTGTTCGAACCACAAAATCTTCAAAAAATTTTTATTTTGGATTTTTGCATTTTCAAATTCTCTACACTTTTATCTTTCTAAAAATACCATTCTTTAATCTCTATGAAAATAAGGTGAAGAAAAAACAACGTAAGCATTTGTCACGCTTGTAATCATGAAATGGCGGATCGACTGAATAAGCAAATGGCAGTCTTCCTGCTGGCTGTAAATGTAAGTTTGGAAACTTGAATAAATTAACGGAAGAAATATTTTTTTACATTTCCTATGTGCTTAACTTGTAAAGTGTCAAAAATGCCTAGCGGAAAGACTTAAGCCTAAAAAATGGATAAACTCTTAAAACATTTTGGATATTTTTCTGAGATGCATAGACAGCAAACTGCATTTAAACTGGGAATTTCTCAAACAGCACTGTGCAGCATCGAGGTTTTCTGCTTTTCTCAATAATCAGCGTTTAACCTGTTTTCTTAATTTTTGAATCCATACTGAGCTTTAATAATACAGTGGCTGAGTCATACAGTTTCTTGAGCCAGTTGCTGTTTCACTTTTAAATATTAACACGTGTCTTAATAATCTTCTGTGACGCAATCCGCTTTAATAAATTTCTAGGAGCTTAAGTAAAACGTTTTTCATCAGGTTATCAGCCGCATGATGATCTGCCTCTTATTTTTCGCAATGCTCTTTCTGATGAACAATGCTGGCTTTCTCTTTCTCCAATCTGACATACAAAATTGTCTCCTACTATTTAGAGATTTATGTTTGATGGAAATTTTCTTAGTTTTCCCCATGTGTAACATGAAAGGTAATTTACCCTTAAAAGTTTCCCACAAAGGTACTTCTGCCCTTTCGTATTTTTCTGTAATCCAACTGATCCATTAGATTTTATTAGATAGTTTTTGCCGAGATTAACGCGATAAGAAAAGAATAAAATATGTAATAGATTCAAACAAAGTTCTTCAGCCTAATCATTCACTCTATATTGTATTTAAATAACTTAATTCCGACACAATGTATAGCCATTCACTATTTGTCTGAAATAACGGTTTGTTAAGTAGTGTTCCAGAAAATTTACACGTAGACTAGCTACCTTAGAAATGTTATTATTGCATTATGGTTAGTTCCCTCATTTGTTCTGATAAAATGTGAACCTGCATAACTTATCACAATTCTGTATAGAATAAATTTTTTATTTCTTCTCCAAATATACTTCTAAATAACAATTCAAAAATGAAATACTTATGCTAATATTGACCATGGCTGACAAGGAAGTTCAAGCCTTGAATTCTTGATTTTTCTGAAAATTATATTTATAAATCTTATAAATCCACTCATCTAGAAATTCATAATAATAAAAAGGTTATATGCTTAGCAGTTAGTATTCTTTGACATTGTAAAATATGCTCTTTCTCTCTCTCTCTCTCTCTATATATATATATATATCTGTGAGTGTAACTCAAAATTACACATTTTATTTTAGCAATGGTCGTTTCAATTCTAATTTTAATTTGTGTGTTTCCCCTTCTTAGAATATAATCTATGTCACTTGAAAACTAACCAGTATTATGTCATCTGAAGCTGCATAAGGTCTTATTCAATGGCAGTCCATATTTTACATTTGAGGATGATACATTATTTTTGAGGATGGAAATCTTCGCCTACGTCTACGCCATTCTGTGTTGCTCTCGAGAGCTGTGTGCTTGTGTGGTGATTGATCGTGTTTACGGAAATCTAATCAAGAGTGCACAAATATGTGTATTTTCGTGTCAATTTCATCATTCGTATTCCCGTCACAATAAATCAAACAGAAGCAATTAGTAAAAAGACTGGCGATGCAAATGATATAATTACTGATTTAATAATTGTGTTTTTATTTTGAAAATTTTAAAAAGTATTATTTTGGTATAAATGTATTTTAAATTTGGTATTTAAAGGACATAATTTGTTTTTAATATTGTTTTGGAAAAATGTAAAGAGTATTATTTTGATTTAGTTTTATTTATGAAAGTATTATTAAGAAAATAATGGTTAATGAAAATATCTCTGATCCTGACGATTCATTAAGGGCAGCTAGCGCTGAACCTGACACAAGTATAAGTCTCTTTGACGCGCAGAATGATATGGATATAAATTCATGGCTTGAGTACTTCCCGCCAAACTAAGTTAATGGTACTACAAGGTTAGGAAGTCATCCTAGTCGTTGCTAGCAATCTGACGGTTAGGACGCCTTTCTACATTTTACATTAATCTTCAGTTTCTTGGATATAATTCTTTTCATTCATGTGTTACATTATCTCTAAGATGCATTAGTTGCAGTAATAGTCCATGAACAGTTTATTCACAGGAAATGTAATGTAGTTAGAAGGAAAGAACTGCTGTCGAAAGTGTTTTGTCAGAGAGCAGGAGAGCAGGTAATGAAGTTATGGTTGATCTGGTTAAAAGTTAGTTCCGGAATGGCTGCAGTTACCTTCTAAGCATGGCTCAAATGTGTTCTATTGGCGAGAGGTCTGGTGACCTGGCAGGCCACGGGAGTACGTCATATCCTTGAAGATATTGTTGGAAGAGTCGTGCCAATATGTGGACGAGCATTGTCTTTCTGTTAAATGGAACCTGGACGACTTGATAGCAGTGGCAGTGCAACCAGCGTTAAAATGTCGTCCACGTACCTGCGAGCAGTTATAGTGCCTTAAAAGACGACTAGAGACTGTGTCTCAACAAATCGCTCTCCATACTGTCACACTTGAGTAATCGCCGTATACCGCTCGGCAACAAATGCCGGATCGTACCGCTGGCCTGGCTACCTCCACACGCGTGTGCGTTCGTCATCAGCATTGAGACTGAATCGGAATCCCTCGCTGAAGACCACACGCCTCCAGTCGGTGAAACTTCAGCTTGCCCGAGTTCGATAAAAATCCAGTCGACACTGCCTGAGATGTGGGGTCAGTGGTAGGTATCTTAATGGACCCCGGAGGCATATACAAGCGTTGGCTAGTCGTCTC